CCCTGGGCGTCGCTCGGGTTGTACTCGACGTTGGCACCGCCGCCTTCAATGTCCATGCTCGCCAGGTCCGCGCTGTAAAGGGCCACGTCCGAGTGGCGGCCGATGACGGTCACGTTGCCCTTGTACAGCTCCAAGTCGACGTGGCCCGTGATGTTTTTCTGCGAGAACGCGATCGCGTGGCGCACAAAGTCCATCTCCGGCGCAAACCAGAACCCGTTGTAGCAGTACTCGGCGAACTTGACGCTCAGCGAGTCGCGGAGCTTCATCACTTCGCGGTCCATGCACAGACCCTCCAAGTCCAGGTGCGCCGCGCGCAACAGAGTGCCGCCAGGCGTCTCGTACACGCCGCGCGACTTGATGCCCACGAAGCGGTTCTCGACGATGTCGATGCGCCCGATGCCGTGCTTGCCGGCAAGGCGGTTCAGCTCGAGGAAGAGCAAGAGAGGGTCGGTTTCGTCCACCTGGGGGTGCGACAAGTTGGACACCTTCACGGGGATCCCGGCCTGAAAATGGATGCGGATGCACTCGGACTCGTTCGGGGCCACCTTCGGGTCCACAGTCATCTTGAACATCTCGGGCATCGGGGCCGTCATGGGGTCTTCCAGCATGCCCGACTCGTACGAAGTGTGGTACAGGTTCTCGTCGACGCTGTACGGCGCCTTGGGCGTGGCGTCGATGGGGATGTTCTGCTCTTTCGCGTACGCGATCAGGTCCTGTCGGCCCTTGAACTTTTCGATGAACTCGGTGTCTCGCCACGGCGCGATCGTCTTGAGGTTGGCGTTCAGAGCCTGGGTGCACAGTTCGAAGCGGACTTGGTCGTTGCCTTTACCGGTGGCGCCATGGGCCACGTACTTGGCGCCTTCGGCATTGGCAATGGCCACCATCTTCTTGGAGATCACAGGTCGGGCCAGCGACGTCCCGAGGAGGTATCGCGACTCGTAGACCGCGTTCGCTTGCACGGCGGGCCAGATGTAGTCCACGACAAACTCCTTGCGCAAGTCTTCGATGCACACCTTGGACGCGCCGAGCGACAACGCTTTGGCCTTGACCTTGTCGAAGTTTTCGCCGAACTGCCCGACGTTGGCGCAGTAGCAGACAACGTCGAAGCCCTTGTTCACGAGCCACTTGAGGATAATGGACGTGTCGAGGCCGCCCGAGTACGCCAGGATCACTTTGTCCCCGCAGTTCGCTTGGACACTCATGACGCAGTGCCGCCGAGAGCGGGAGTTGAAGAATGACATGGCTCGGAATTTTGGTCGAAATCTTTCGCAAGTTGTTGCGTTTTCATTGGTGGAATGCTTGTTCAGAGGACAGAGCCGCTTCACCATGGGCAAGGACAGCTCGGCCCGGGCTGGTCTGCCAAGCTTCCTTGGCGGCACAGCTCCGTCCATCGGTCCTACGGGTTGCGCTGCCCTGCATCATGTGGGAACACCACAATGAGTTCAAGACGACGTATTCTGGATTTCAAGTGATTGTGCATGCCAGGCTGTCGCCGTGTACAAGACGTCGACATCGAATGGAAGCTCTAACGAATGGATTTCAAATTACATTTAAGGAAGTTGCTGG